TCCCTCTTCCTTGCCTTGTAACCCCCGTGCCACAAACAAGACTTGGACTCTGTAAACGGGGAATATATATTCTTCTAGCGAACACAATCTCGCTGTTAAACTAATGACTACAATTACTTCGTCTGTTTATATCACCATGCAAAGCAGCTCACCAAAACGTCACAACGACGTAGAAAAAATAACGGGTATATTTATTATCTTAAGTCTACATGAAATCTATACCCTACACAGACTAATGAAATACTATCTGTAAAATTATCTATGTAAACAAACCTCATCACTTGAGAAGGTAGGTGATGCGGACGTCGTGGAAGACATTTTGTCCCGTAACGCTCGCCGTACTGTTGGGGGGGAGAAGCGGTGGGGGGGAGACGTTCATGTTGCTGCAGTCTGCAGTCTGACCGCTAGATGTCGCTGAAAATTACACACTGTAGCTTTAAACAGAGCGTGCACGAGGAGAAATGGGCTCGTGCATGCAATTTCTTTTTATTAGAACGGGCGGGTGTTTTATAAAATTAGCGAAAATCCTCACCAATACCTTTGAAATGGGGACTGAAGACCCACCTGTTTAGAGCTGCTTTTGATTAATTCACAAACAGATCCAGGTGAGAAGCTGCTCTATATGAAATATCTTGTCATAATTATCATGTGGATCCGGTTAACAGTTTTTAGGATTTTGTGTGAGGATTTGCAGTGAACTCTAATGCTGTTTTTAATAATTCTAATGATTTTACTGCACATTTGCAATTCGATGTCTCACCTTTAATTGCCCCTGCCAAAGCAATGTGTAGTAAAAAGTCATTTGACTTAGCAAAATAAATTTGATGTAATATTCATATCAATATAAATTAAATGCTTAGTCTAATTTGTAACATCGTCTGGGGCTGGGCTCTTTTTCTACTCCAACATGAACTTTAATCAGTACCTCTCGCCTCATGAGCTGCTAGTCATCTTTTATGCTGCCATTATTCAGTCTGTCCTTTGTTTATGTTATTTCTCTCAGGCCCAAAATAACAGGAATGAGACAGACTGCAATGAATAATCAGGTCTGCGGAGCAGATCATCGGGGCTTAATGTCCGTCGGCTGTAATGGTGTAAAAATGAAGTATAATGGTTTCATATTGGCAAACATCTCCAGAAGCAAAACAAAATTCAATTAAAATGATTTCAGATTTTCCTTTCAAATACTCCAGTATAGTCAAAGATATTTTATAATTGTAAACCAGAAACCTGCTCATCGCCGTCTGCAAACAGAAAAGAGCAGCGCTGCTGCCAAACAGGCAGCTGTAATCAAGCTCTTTCTGAAATAGTTCATGTCCAGATGAGAAAAAGAGAAAACCTGGATTAACGCAGCCGACAGACGAGACGCCAGAAGTCCTGGAGAGCAGACGGGTCTGACTGCCGTCACGCTGACGGATGAGATGAAGGGTTAACTGCTGGTCCCCTTCACTCTCTGTGGTCCACAGACGGATACGTCTTCACTGGAAAAAAAATCAACATCTAGACAAGTAATTTATTTCTTAAAATAAGTGCATTTGTTCTTGAATTGAGGAGGTAAAAGACATTTTGCCTATGGAACAAAACAATTTACATTTAAAATAAGAAAATGCAATTGCATTGTCTTATTTGAAGGGAATTTTATCTAAATATCTTATTTTAAGGGTAAAAATACTAATTCTACTGGCAAATAATCTCATTTACCTGCTCAAAATAAGGGTAAATACCCTTAATTTAAGAAATTTGTACTTATTTCTAGATCATTTCCCCAACATTGAGCAGAGCACTGCAAAAAATATCTAGAAATACGTAAAAATGTCTTAAATCAAGTGTATTTATCCTTAATTTGAGTAGGTAAAGGAGATGATTCGCCAATGGAATGATTTTTACTCTTAAAATAAGATATTTAGATAAAATGCACTTAAAATAAGACAACGAACTTGTGTTTTCTTATTTTAAATGTAAATTGTCTGGTTGCATTGGCAAAATGTCTCTTATCTCCTCAATTAACAAATAAATGCACTTATTTTAAGAAAGAATGACTCATCTAGACTTCAATTTTTTTCCAGTGTTCGCTTAATCTCCTTACATAACATCCACCCTGACCCAGACCGAGGAGAAAGCCCTGCGCCTCATTCACAGCTCTGCACACAAATCTTAAAAACAGGAGGGAATGTGTCACGGCGGAAAAGGCCTTGAGAGTCTCGGATGATTTCTTTCAGGAAAACCAGATTTTAGTGTCTCAATGATGAGCAGAACAGAGAAATAGACTGTTCAGATGAAGAGCTTTGGCTTTTCTTCCACCTTATCCATTATATTATTTTTAGTTGCCATGGAGAGAAATTATATATACATCTCTGGTTCTCTCTCCCCCAACAGGGTGTTTCAATTCAAAGTCTTTTGTCTGTCATCTCCTCTTTCCATTGTTTCCTCAGAGAAGACAGCAGGAGACAAGAGCCTGGCACAATGAGAAAATACTTCTAATGTCGGCTCTAATGGCAGGAGGGGGACGTCCAGGAAGGCCAGACAAACCAGAGCTACCCAGATTGACGGACGAGCCAGACGCTACTGCGGTTTCCCTTGGCCTTCTGGCCTGGCTCCCATTTTCAGGAACCAGTGGCTTCAAAGGAATAATTCATTTCACAGTCTGGTGGCCAGACACAGAACCCCCCCCCCTCCCTCCCCTCAAGCACCTGAAGGAACAAAAAAAAAAAAAAAAAAAAAACAGCTGTGGGACGCCGCTTCACCTTTTGCTCTGCCGATGCCAAAAAATGTCTGCCAACATCCTTCTTGTCCGATCCAGCTCCCTAATCAGTGTCAGTTCCAAGCCAACCCAAAACATTTATAGTTTTACCTGTTAAGTCTGATTCAGTGCAGCCAAAATGAGACTTTGTTAACTCAGATGGAGTCATGGAAAAGTTACCGCATGATTTTACAAAGCTGGTCATTATTTTCCCTCAATTTTTCAAAGCAATGCTTGACCTATAAAAAAAAAAAATCAACGTTCAAATAATCACATAAAGTGTGAAACATTTACTGACATCTACTGGTTAAGTTGGAGGTTGCTTTCATCTAAACTTAATTCACTGAAACTTGCATTAGTGTAAACAAATCTGAAGTTATACTTAATATGTGAGCCAAAGGTTTTACTCAAAGGTTAAACAAAATATGCTTTAACTTTGCCTAGATTTGTCATGTAACATGCTTTTTTATTGTTCTGTTTGGCAGAACTGGAGCACTGCCCTGTGTCCTTTAACTCTCTCTTTGTATTCCTACTTCTATGCAGCTCCTGTGGAAGTTTAAGGATAATTACTCCACCAGATGTACAGTTCAGTACTAAAACAGTTGGTCCTCTTTAACATTTATTCAGTTTTCATTTTGCATTTTTGACAAATGCTTAAAAATACAAAGTAAGACCTAAGAATTCCAGAGCAAATTTTAGGAATGATGTAGTCATTCTGGGGAAAAGCTCTCCAAGCCGACCTGGTCTAAAGCAGGATCTGCATCCTATAGCCCCGTTTACACTACATTTTAGAAATCGTGCAAAAGTCAGTCCGAGCTCGGCAACGGAGATAAATGTTAAGTGTAAATGGTACGCACCACCGAATCGGACCGCGCTAAAGTGGTACTAGTTCATCAGTAGGGCTTGGCATGGTTCAGTTCTGGCTCGGTTCTCAGATAAAGAGCGCATGAGCAGACCGTGTCATCTCTTTACAGTCAGCCTCCGTAATCATGAAACTTCAGAAATTCATAAAAATCCTAGCTTCCCTACCGTGCCACAGCATTTCCAGTGATGAGTCTGCTTAGCAGTGTGATGGACCTCAACATCCGTCGTTGTTTCCTGCGTCTTTAAGCCCTGATTAGACTGTCGTTTGTCGTATCCACTTCCCAAAAGCCGACTCTGTCAAGTAAATTCACCAAAGGCTGCCTTTTTCACCCGACTCTCCGCAAACAGTGAATTATCACAATTGTAACCAAACTTCCTAAATTTTACGGCCGCCACCGTAACTTTATTGGTTTGCTTGTTTCGCTCTAGAGAGCAGTAGTACCGTAGATCGCCACTAGGAGGCGAGGAACCGTGCTAGCGTGGTGTGTAAACAGTCGTAAGGAATCGAGCTCGGCACGGTTAACTGATCCAGGCTTTTTTTTTTTTTTTTTTTTTTTTTTTTTTAGATATATGTAACAACTACTAGCCTTGTGAGACCATCCTGATCTCGCGAGCTTTCAAGGTTTCACTCGCAGATCAGTCAAGCTACTTTCCGTTAAAGAAAATTTGGAGCCGTTCACCAAACGAACGTCCAATCAGCGTTGGCTTTGAGGCGGGTTGAGGTGCGACGCAACGAGAAGCGCAACAGTTCAGCCTAAAGAACATGGCGGCTTCAGCCGATGAAACTAGCGTTAGCGTGGCTATCGAGCAAGTTTTATCGGAATTACAGAGTATTTCTTCACTGAAAGAAGAGCAAAACACTGCTCTGGAGGCTTTTCTCAGAGGAAAAGATGTTTTTGCTCTTCTCCCGACTGGTTTCGGCAAGAGTTTGATCTATCAATTGGCTCCTCTTCGTCGTCGCTCTGTTAGTACGTCATATGCTTCGTTGATCTGATTGGTTTATTTGGCCCATCTATCACCAACATAGGCCAATCAGCTAACCAGTATTTTCGCCCCTTCCCAAAATTACTTCAACGGAAGGTTTCCAGATGGATATGCGAAGCAAATCCATCTGGCGGAGTCAGGTTAAACAAATACTGCAGGTTTCAGCAGAAGGTCTCCATTTTTTATTGAACATTTCTAAATTTGGATAAGAAAATTACCCTTAGGGTACCTGTAATGTTTTTTGTCATTAGATTGAAAACAATGTCATTTATTATATCGGTTTCTGCAAACATCAGCATCCTATGAAAGAGAATGTCTCCTTGTTAAGTTCACGTTAAGGTCTGACAGGAAGAGACACAGTTGCTCCATATCAGTCTAGTAGATATGCATCTTTGAGCTTTAGGAGTCTTACCTTGGAGGCCCTCCGGTGGTCTGGACACTCAGGGTGCTGGCACACCACCCAGTCTTCCTCCTGGACTGGCTTATCATCTGAAATGGAAAACATGGGTCACTCAGATTTTTCTTTAATAATAAAGAAGAACGAAAAAAATTTAAATCAACCTCCCATTCATCTTCTTTCCATTAATACGCCTTTCTTTGTAAGAATGTAATTCTGCAACCAAAAAAAGATCTAGACATAAGTAAAAATGTCTTAAACTAAGTGAATGTACCCCTTTATTTGAGTAGGGAAATAGGTTTAGCAATGGAATGAGTATTTTTACTCGTATAATAAGAAAATTGGATAATATGCACCTATAATAGGACAACGCAATTGTTTTTTTCTTACTTTAAATATGTCTCAATTAAACTCCTCAATAAAAAAGCTGCTATCTTAAGAAAAAACTTAGTTTAGATCAACATTTTTTGCCGTAAAGAATATGTTTAAATGTCCAAGACTAAAAGTTACTGTGTTTATACGATGGTGAAGTAAGAGGAGAAACATGGAGAGCAGCTAAAAGCACAGGAAACTCATTGGATACAAGAAGGAGGTATGTGTAGAAGAAATTAGTTGAAGATCCTCGACTGAGAGGTAAACAGAAGGAATAAAGGTTGGGATGTTTTTTTGGAAGAAGATCAAAGAGAAATAATGACTAAAGAGACGGGAAGTAAAATGAGTAAATGAGATGAAGGCCTTGGTCTGCTTATTGTACCAAAGTGCACTTATCATGGAGGAGCTTTCTGCTTTCAACCGTGCAACAACAAATCACCATTGTCAAATAAACCCCCAACGTCGAGTTTGACTGGCCGCATCGAGGCCATGATAAAAGGCGGCGTTTACATGTCTGTCTTCAGCACGTACACAATAGATAACAATGTCAAAACAGAGACCCTGAGTGCACCGGCACTTATTGGCCAAACGAATGAGGAAAACAGGAGAAAGTAGGAGCAGGAGAGAGCTGATTGGGCAGTAAAGGTGCAAATAGCTGGAATTCTTCAATTTCCAAGCATGACAACAAAAACAGTTTTTAGTGTCCCAAGATGGCTGGTGACTGAAATATAAGTGGCAGAATATCAGTAAATCTTTTGTAATGGAGTTGAACGCTACAATAGAGTGGATGTTGCAAAAAATGGAAATCTAAATAAGTTATTTTTTTCTTAAAACCAGTGCGTTTCTTCTTTAATTAAGTAGATAAGTGAGACACTTTGCCAATGGAACAACACAATTTACATTTAAAATAAGGAAAAACAATTGCATTATCTTATTTCAAGTGCATATTATCTAATTATCTTATTTTAAGAGTAAAAATACTCATTCCATTGACAAATCATTTAATTTTTCTACTCAAATTAAGGGTAAATACACTTACATTAAAGCCCAGTCTACTGTGTGTATGTATATATATATATATATATATATATATATATATATATATATATATATATATATATATATATATATATATATATATATATATATATATATATAAATATTCTATATTATTTTGTTTCTTGTCTGCACCAACAACACCAAGTCAAATTCCTTGTAAGTGCAAATCTACTTGGCAATAAACTTTATTCTGATTAATTGAATACATTTTTTTTTACCTATTTCTAGATCGTTTTTGCAGTGTTCTCAAATGTCTTGAACAGCACGGATGAATCAGCATGAAAAAAAATGGTCAAATACTGCAAGTCATTAAGAGGCATCCAGCCACCTCTTTGCAGGTTGTAGGAAGATGGAAAAGACATGCTGACCACTGCTTTAAACACTTTAAAAAAAGCAGTGCATCAGTCAACTAGTGATACAAATCGGATGAAAACGTTTGTGTAATGTTTAACCTGTTAAAAGTTCTGACAGGTCAAACTCCCGCCCCATTTCCTGCACTCTGTGTACCAGAGCAACTTCCATATAGTCACCACAAACTTCAATGATGCTTTTTATATGGATTCCATGTCATTATGTATGGAAATCCATTTTATTCTAGATTAGATACATTAAATTATTGTTCTTAATATCACATAAAACACATTCCCAAAAAAAATTTATATAAATTCTAACCTTATGTTGATAGAGATATTCTTCATTATGATTCCTTCATTTACTTAAAGACGTATTCTTTTATTAATTTAATTGGTGATATATTATAAGATTTCTATATTTTGTGATATACCGTAAATTCTCTAATATTGGCCTGTATTCCATTAGCGGCCGGGACTCTAAAATTGGCCGGTCTCGCTGTCAGAGGAGGTAAATAATGGCCGGTCTCTAATACAGGCCGGGGCTATAAACGTTTTTTTCTGGGCATACCTCAACATTATACTTGTGGTAGTAACATACAAGTACCACAGCCCTGCGCAGCTGGACGACAGGCCCTGACTGCTGCCCGTCTGCGCGAGGAAGAGAACAGACACGCAGCAGAACATGAGGAGGAGCGCCAGTGATGAGGAGATTGAAGGGAGAGATGAAGAGGAGGAGGAAACTGAGGAGGAGGATTAAACAGAATTGGAGGATTTTTTTTTCTTTTTTACTTCAAACCAAGCGAACATGGTAACTGTACTTTTTCAATAAATGAACCTAGTGTTTTATAGGTTCAAATAGACAAAATCTCATTTTTATTCATTCCACTGGTAGTCTGTTTTGCTCAAATAGCAATAGAGGCCTGTCTCTAATTCTGGCCTCTTTCCAATAAAGGCCTGGACCGCGATGCACTTGAGTGAAATAAAGGCCCGGGCCTATATTAGAGGATTTACGGTATTTTAAGATTTATTCATTTCAAGATACTTATTTCTAAATTAACAACTGAATTTCCAAAGAATGGTCAGAGTTTTCTCTTTGGTTTGAGGAATTCGTACTAGACGCTAACTAGCATCAGCTAACATGCTACATAACGCTTAGTACACACTGTTTAAACGGTTATCAAGCACTTCAACTCTACCGCCATCACAACATGGCGATAGGAGTCTAGGCTATTGAGTTTCATAGCAGTACAAACTCTGTTTTAAAATAAAATTTATAAATAATTTTATTTTTTGGGGGGTGGGGGTACCACCATCTTGCATACTTATTAGCTCTGCTATACTGTTTTTATCTCAGGATAATAAATGTAAAGGTGCTATGTGAGATGCTCAGGATTTTATTTTCTTTGATTCCACTATGCGATTAGTTTGCCATCAAATATTTTTGCTGTATTCGAACAGAGATGAAATTACCCATTGTTGGACTATATGAGGGGTGACTGTTTTCACTGGATTTTTCTAGGAGTATCAAACTTCTTAGAGTTTTGTTTATTAAAAAAAAAATAAATAAAAATTTCTAAAGATGAGCATTTTCCCTTCCACTTTACCATTCAGGCTTACTTTGCTGTGGGCTATGCTACTTAATCCAAATGCAAAACTGAAAAATACCTTAAAGCAGAGGTTTTTTTAATGTTTTCCAGGCCAAGGACCTCAAAACTGATGGCGAGATAGTGCACGGATTCCCTAATTTTATATATATATATATATATATATATATATATATATATATATATATATATATATATATATATATATATATATATATACTGTGTTATATCAAACTGGTCTTATAGACACTCCATTACATATGGAGTCATGTAATTTAGGTAATTTCTCCCTGGGATTAGTAAAATATTTCTAATTCTGATTCCTTGTTGATGGGACAGGTGTTTTGAATGAAATGGTGTCCAGTTTGAAAGAGCTCCTTTGTGTTGTTTACTGTTTGCATTGATGACTGAAAGACATCTTCTGCCTCCTTTTATCCGTTTACTACAGTGTGTTGAATTCATGTTAATGTGGATTTAAAGACATTTTAATTAGTGGAAAAAGTTGCGAGGGGGAATATAAAAAAAACAAAACAAAAAAAATGTCTAATCAACCAAAACTTTCACGACCCCCATGCAATACCTCAGAGGACGACTTGTAGTTTTAAAGTGTACAGCCCTACCTCAGCAAGAGACAGAAAAAGCCCATTTTGGAATCTCATATCAGAAAGGGCAGTTCCAAATTTGTCTATTTGCAATATTTTTCTCCCTTGTTTTACCTTCTGACTTTGTCCTTTGGACAAAAAGTGTCATATTTTATTCTCATTTATCAAACAAACTAGATTTAAACAATTAATACTTTAGAAATGAAGCATGTTTCTTGACTAATAGTCAAATACTTTAACTTGCACTGTTATACTAATATGGTGATGTTAGGATATCATTCAGTGAATTGAATAAAAAACAAAAAAAAAATCCCCTTAGAAGGACAAATGGAGGCAGGAAATTTGAAATGACTGTGTCCAGTAACTGTCATGTAGCCATTAGGATTCATCCTCATTGGATATTAAGCCCTGAATGTCTGCCCAACAAGCAATCACTGGATTTAAGCTACATGATTGCAAAGAGCAAGTCGGCCAAGCAACGGATCTAGATCTCAGATTCCTTCCATTAGATGAGCTTTAAAGGTTTCTTTGAACAACTTAGCTGAAGCAAAGTCTATTGTGTCAGACTTCATCCAACTTATGGGGAGAAGTAGGAGGGAAAAAGGTGTCTCCTGTGTCTGAACTCTGCTGGAAGCAGGCCGAAATGCACGCTCGGTCACGGCTATGGCGTCTGGCAGAAGGCTTGTGGGATAATGGGCCCCTGAGGGTTTACAAAAGCAGCATGCTGCAGAGGGAGCCTTCGGCTTTTATGAAGTGTTTCCCAAAGAGATAGATATTTCTCCACCACAGCCAAACTTCACAGCTTTGCACTAAACAAATGCTGCTTGGCCTCAGTGGTGACATATCAGGTCACAGGAATCTGGAAAAGTTATTAGGCCAAAAGTGAGGGATAAATGTTCAGAGACTATTCTATGCTGCACATGGATTCAAAGCTGAACCAGAGGAAAAGGTTTTCTTTAGTTTGAAATTTATAAAGTAAAAGTGTCCAAACTTAAAGAAACCTGCTCCAAAAATCAACTCAAATCATTTTCTTTTAACTAAAAAAATAGGAAAATTAGTAGGGATGCACGATATTGGGATTTTGGCCGATATCCGATATGCC